GGGGTACAAATATAATGGGGTCTCTATGGACTCTAATGATGGTCCTGATCCTTTTGGGACCCCATAATATTTGTACCCCCCCCTCCAATACTACGTAGTATGTGAACGACCCCTTAGTAATTGTATCCACTGAGGCCATAGAGTAAAGCTCGAAATTTGTAATTGTGGTTAGGGACCCTTGGGGACTCTCCACGGGAAGAAATGAGGCATGGGCCAATTAGCTACCACCTCCGATTGCAGGAAGCACAATGCAGATTAACAAACAACATGCAGTAATGAATGGCCAACACCAAAAATGTAAAAACACAAACGCCGGTGCAGCAAAGGATACTTGCGTAGCTTACCAATGTCTGGATCAGAGATCACACACAAAACGATTACCTTGGCCTCAATGCCCCATGCCGTCAACACTTTTGGAGACCAAAGAGAAGCCGCCCGGGCGATGCGGTCGCGTCGCTTCCGCCCTTCTCCCGACGCCGCTGATAAGAGCGGCGCACCGGCCAGCCCTCCTGGAGTCGTGCCTCGTCCGCCTCGGACCACACACTCGCCTGCAGTAGGCCTATTGCATCCGCCACCGTGTGTGCTGTGCAGATGCAGCTACTTGGTGCTCACCGCGGATCGCACCACGAGGACTTCCCCGGAAGGCATATCCTCTTGTTGGTTGGCATCTGACAGATATGTGCCTGTTCCTACGATCCTAAAAGCAAATTATTACCACAATTACCATCACCTTGAAACGCACCATGTCATCCTGTGACTGTAGAGAATGCAGACAAGAGATTAGTACCAAAAACCTCTTCCACCAGTAGCGGAGCTCTTTATACCTTCATCTGTACATTTTACAAGCCCTTCTGTTCACCACTCACCATCCCGACACCCAAGGTTATGGAGTACAGATGCAACTTTACAGCAACTCTTGCTGGACCCACACCAGTGCATTACACAACATGACACAAGTCTACCTTCACAACACACTTGCAAGTGAGTTTTACACAAGCCCTTGTATCATGGAAGCAGAAGCTAGTTGACCTAAAAGGGTACAACATCAAGCCTAAGCGAACCATAACGCGTTTAGCGTCTAGCAAGAAATCAGGCTCAGTATGCGTGCAAACATTCATGCAGTGCCCTGTCCTAATTTCTT